GTGCTTTGACTAAGATTTAAAGTATGTTCTGAATTCTGTTGTTAGTCGAAATAAAAATGTGACTATCTATGCTCCTAATATATGTTTATGAATGATGATATAACTTAACCGTTATAGTCTAGTCACCCAAAACAGATAGCTTTCCTCGATATCCTGCTCCATCGGATCAATCAGACGAACCCACCTGGTCGGGACAGTACCTCCACTTCACTAGTTTCTGCCCCATACAATATAAACGCTCTGTTGTCAAAACTTTATCCGTTCACGCAAGTAGAATCTGCACTGTTGATACATTGAACGACCAATTCAAGCTTATTACTGAGACACTTAAATCAAACGGATATTCCGGAACGTTTATTGGTCATCAGAACACAACTACGACGAAACTGATAGCAACTGATGTGCCTAAGAAACCAGTGTACCTACAGTTAGTTACCTTTCAAGGGTGATCATTGCATGAAAATTACAACCAAACAGACTGCAGCTGCAATAAAAAAGACCTTCCTTCAGTGCAGCTAATCTGAGGCTTATCACAACAACTCAATCGATCTCAGTTAGACCAATCGAATCTCCAACACCGATTCAGTTCAAATCCCACTGTATTTACCAATTCACATGTAACTGCGGAGAAAGTTACTTGAGTAAGACAGATCGCCGATTGGAAGACAGGATAGGAGAACATATTCCAAAATGGTTAATCAAATCCATGATTCATCCACCACCTAGCCCGTCATCTCAAGGTCGATCAAGAAACTCAGCCTCGTCGATTTCAAAACATCTAATGATAAGTGGTCATCAAATTACCCAAAATTAGCCTTTAGACTTGTGACATGTCATCAAAACCCACACACACACACCTAAAACTACTCGAAGCTATCTTGATTGGTCGGATAAGTCCAATTTTATGTGTTCAAAAACAATTGTATGTTGACCTTTGTTTACCATGGTTCTAGTGAGTGAATAATGTCATGCTAAATAAGAAATTTTGACCTTATCGTCAAAACTGTATTTACACAAATAACGTGTTGCTTGTATGTGACTGACGAGAAAGCACGAAATGGTACTATCTCACAAAATATGTCATCTGGTTTCTCTGTTCAAAGATAGCCAAATGTCAAGCGAACCAATTTCTGAAGACTAAACCATTCTGTATAACTCTGACTGGATATATTCAAGATCAAGGGTGTTGTTGTTTACAAGTGAGACATTTTGGGTAAGATCAAAGGTTTATAGGTTACTGATAAAACAAATAAGATCAATCTAGAATGAAAATGAAGGTCACAACATGACCAACTCTATTGGTTGTAACCATCATGTTCAACTATAAGATATTTATGATCTAAGAATGAATAAGATTCTGTCCTGTATATCATTAGCGACAAAGTTTGAATGATGACTAATTTAATGATATCCGTCAGTCATTCTGTCAGATGCAACGTAGAACTTCGTACGTAAGTACATCAGTTCATGTTGCCATACCAAATTAGCACAGAGATGTAATTGTCAATTCAAATCCAATAGTAGTAGAGGTAGTCAAGGTATTAGAAGTAATCGGAGAGGTTAGGATTAGAAGATATTATTCAAGAGGTATAATTCAGTGAGAAAAGTTTAGAAAAGTCAAAAGTAGGGGTGTTGAAGAACCCAGAAGACTAGGATTTGAGCGAACACAAAGAATAAATGCACCTGCATAATTGCAAACTATTCTGAGCCATGTCGTTCAAGGTCTCTAACGATCAGTGACTATCGTCTCGCGGATCCCAACCATGTAGTCGACACCTACCGACATGGCTCAGTTCACTTGTCAATGACTTCATGGATTTCTGCCATGTTTTGGTCCGGCCGCCCTTAACTTTCTTCCAACCTATTCCTACACTACAAAACAAAGCTCGTCGAGGCAGTCGGTGGTTAGCCATACGTAACACATGTCCCAACCACCTCAACTAATGAAGTTTTATTACGTCATCTATTGATCTGCCATTCTTACCTAGCACCGGTTTCCTAATAACAGCCTTGCATACTCGGTTGTCCAAAGATATACGGGGAATGCATCGAAGACACCTATGATCGAAAAATAATAACCTACGAATATCTTCTACTCTTACTGGCCATATTTCACAGCCATAAAGTAAGACGGAGTGAACTACTGCACAGTACACTCGTTCTTTAGTCAGCAAAAGGATATCTCGCCTGTGCCATAAGTGACACAGGTTGGCAAAAGCCAATCGAGCTTTCTGTATCCGAGCTGAGATTTCGTTAGTCACCAGGCCATCGGCTTTGATGAGACCCTCCCAGGATAAGTGAAGCGGTCTACACGTTGGACTACTTCACTTCCTAATGGTTTAAACAATTTCAATGAAAATATTGGGATTATCTGGTTTCCCTTAAATTACACTCAATTAAAAAACAAAGTTAAACAAGAGGAATTAAGCAGTCGATAAAACAACGTGCAAAGAGAGGGGAACATACTGAATCAATACAACGATAAAACAACTTACGAATAACCACATGAAGTTCTCAAACTTTCAACTATAACTGTCTATAGCCTGGACATCTCAACAGTCTACACGCAACCTAGCCGTTACTCTATCAACAGAGTCTGATTTACCCATTTACAAAACCATTGCTCACATCCTTACAAGAAAACAAATCTAAATATAAAGGTAAACAATAGCACCGCCATACATAACCAAAAGCACAATGTCAGTTATTTCCATAATTAATTGTAGTTATGCCATAACTAACAAATCAGATTGTGGTTTAAGCGCCCACCACGTTATCTAGTCTGACCGGTCTGTAAACCTTCATTGTTGTGAGTGACCTATCGATTGAAGGATGTTATTATTTTACTGTATATTGATGTGACTCACGTTTTTTATTCATTTTCCAAAGACACGCTATAATGGTCGGTTTGTTTATTCGTTTCCATTTATAGCTGTAATTTCCTTCTTTATTGTACTAATTTAATCGTTTATGTTTGTTCAGAAACAGGTCAAGTTTAAAGCTAAATTGACTTTATTCTTACTATAGATTTACCATAGATTCTGTACTCGCCAGTATTGCGTTTACTGTTCTAGAATTACATCTGTAGGACAAATTAAATCCTACACACACAGATACAAGAATATAAGCATAAGCACCAAAAACAGCTACGTAACCAGCCTCACTCACTCAATTATAAGCCCCTTAATCCTAGAGTATCCTTAATCAATGGTTGTAATATAACCTTATTCCTTAACATTACAATAAACTTTGACTAAATATAAGCCAGCCTCCGTTATTAATCAATAACCCAACTAATGTTGTGGTGCGCGCTACTCATAAGTAGTATATGATGTGAGTGTCAGCGTAATGTCTGGCAGCAGAAGATGGAGGGGAAGATCAAGAAAGGAAGAGTGGGAACACAATATGGAATTTGTATGAAACGCATGTATAGTGATTGAAATGTCAGACAATGGATTGATGATGGATTGAACATTTGCAAATTAACCGTTTACGATATGGTATTCCTATTTTACTACTGAGTAACTCTGTAATTTTCGATAAATACAATTCGGTTGCCCTCACCTGTGTTCTCCTTCACCACACTATAAGCACTGAACGGCCATTTCGTCCTGGAATGGAACAACTCATCAGCAGTGTGCATCTACGGCTGCTGCACCTCACAGGATTCGAACCCAAGACTTTCTTTTTTTTTTTAACCCGATTGGTTTAGCATGGTTTATTAGTTTTTTTAAAAATAAACAATCTCTTGTGTTGAATACCTCTCTTACGAACAGATTACAAATTTGCACGTTTTGTATACTTTGCTGTGTTCGTTTATATAGCTTACTTTATTTAGAGGTTTATGCTTATAGTAAGTAGAATGATTATAGTCACATTGTAGTGAAGGAGAACACAGGTGAGGGCAACCGAATTGTATTTAACGAAAATTACAGAGTTACTCAGTAGTAAAATAGGAAAACCATATCGTAAACCGTTAATTTGCAAATCTTCAATCAATCATCAATCCATTGTCTGACATTTCACTATTCAGGCGTTTCATACAAATTCCATTGTGTTCCCACTCTTCCTTTCTTGATCTTCCCCCCCATCTTCTGCTGCCAGACATTACGTTGACACTCGCATCATATACTACTTATAAGTAGCGCGCACCACAATAGGTTTCTAATTAATGGTGATCTCACTTTGATCGATACCCATGACTTCATATGTGCAAAAAAACAAAGAAAATATTATCAAGTAACAAAGTTGAACATCAAACACATTGAACATCTAATGGAACTTACCAATACAAATGGATAAAGCACATAATGGTTGAATAGCTCGGATGACTCGTTTCGATTTACGACAACTTAAATCCATAAAAACAGTGATACCTAAAAAGAAAACAATGACAGGAATAGGATGAATTAAAAATACACAAGTTTTTTTTTGCAAAATAAAATGCACTCGTGAAAGGGATCTATCTATCTTTTTTCTATACAAGATGGTGGTTATTTGGGATCATCAGCTTAGATGGAAGCGTCTGAGGTAGAAGTGATTGTGTTTGAATCTCAGCGTTAATGTCAGCGAGTATATGTGTCCAGCCTTTAAATCCACTTACTCTATAAGAACTTTGTGGTAATGGACAGACATTATCGTGGAAATCTCCATATCATCCACATATGTCAACAATGGTTGATTGAAAATTCACTCAAGGTTACCAATAACCGGATAATTCCAATGCTTTCTAACAACAATATAATTAGAGGTTTACAAAAATTTACATGGTTCGGGGAAAAACTGTTGAGGATGTTAGATCCCCAACACAACTCGCTTGATATATGCCCCAATTTTGGTTTTCATGCTTGCCAGTATGGGCTGATCAGTTGACATTGAGATTTCATTTCCCACCAGGAAAATCCATGCCTGTGATTGGCTGCTGTGTATTTTAGTGTGCTATTTTTGTGACTGTCCCACTAGGACGTTTCTATGATGTATAAATAAACGAGAGTTGTATGCTTGATTGTACTGTGATTACTAGGTGTTTTGTAGAATATACTTTCTACGCTTACAAAGCCTTCTGTCTTCAGCTTGGGATTCAAGGTAGCCTATCTGGACGTTGGGTCACTGTCTCGTTTGCTTTTGTCGACTAAGGTGAACTCGTAATAGCTTCAAGCGTACCTAGTGACGAACCCTACAAAAACCAAGTAGATTTTCCTGTCAAAGTAGGCTCCTGTAAGTAATAGTCGATTATGATCTTACAAAAAATCATTTTCTGAATCCATTTGTAGAAATACGTCTTCAAAGCTTATACGGTTAGTTTGCTTACATTTATACAGCATATTTATTTATTCCTAGTCAACAGAATGTGTATTTTGTTCTATTCATGAAGATGATTGTGATTTACTAGTTTGGTAATATATTGTACTGCCTCCACGTATATTCCAGTTCTCTTACATCTAACTTGGTTAAGCCCTTTCGATTAATTTATTTAACCAAGCCTAATTGTATTGCAACAATTTATACGTACCATTCGTTCTTATTATTGTCTGGTTTGTATGAGCTCACATGATGTGTTCCACTTGTCATTTGACCTTGTCAATCATTCGTCGCTTTTATTCATGTGTGCCTATTTCGCTTGTCACATGTCTGTCTTATATTTGTCTGACTATATATTCTTAGTCATGCTCTATCTCTTGGAGTTGGCTCATTAGCCTTCTCCAATGCGCTTTGCCTATTCGTTCGCTTCCTTCGCTCATTCTTTCGCTGGCTTTTCAACTTCGCGATGTAGTGTGTCCAAAATATAAACGTATTCTTCATACTTCGAATTCGCCTTCTGATTTCTAAACCGTCAGGCACTATCCGAATACGCAGATAAATGGACCACACAATATGAATGAATGGTCGCTGAAAAAGTTTGTTATTCTCTAGTTAAGTATGTGTACTGTTGTAGTACGCAGAGAGAGAGAGATGTTACTAACGTAACTGCATTCATTGACAATGAATGATCCCCTAAATTGTGAATCAAATTCTATTCCTCATTTTTTCGCTGAATTTCATTTATTTATTTTCACATGTTTAGAAAGCTGTCCGCTGCTTTCTCTAATTATTTGTTAATTCAAAAAAGCATAACAACTTGAACCACAGTAGATTCTTGTCATTTGATCTAAATAATGTTGGTTTGTTCTTAGACAGATAAATTTAAAATAATCCATACATAAATACTAATTAAACATTATTGTTTCATTTTCACTCAGGTAAATTTCAATATCAATCAATATACTTCACAACTAAACTTAATGGAAGAGTTGAAGTATTTGTACCTAAAAAAAGTAGTAAACCGCGAAAAAAATTATCAACACTTTTGTCCGGTGATTTCTGTTATCTCTAGTTAAGTTCTCTTGGCGATCAACTGGATTATAAAGACGTCAACATCTGGGATACAGTGGGAAGTCAGGATGCATTTGGTCTATCTAGACTTCACAGACGATCTGGCTCTTCTAATGCACGAACTGCAACGAATGCAAGAGAGGACAACCAGTGTGGAGGCGGCCTCAACAGCAGCAGCAGGTCTCAACATACATAAACAGAAAAGCAAGATTCTCCGATAAACACACAGTATGAACCAACCAAATCAAACTTAATAGAGATGCCTTGGAGTACGTAGAAACCTTTATATATCTTGGCAGCATCATTGACGAACAAGGTGGTTCTGATGTAAATGTGAAGATGTGGAATGGTAAAGCAAGGGTTGCATTTCTACAATTGAAGAACATCTGGATCTTAAAACAACTATCGACCAATACCAAAATCAGAATTTTCAATACACAAATGTCAAGACAGTTCTACTGTATGGAGTGGAAACTTGGAAAACTATGAAAGTTAACATCTAGAAGATAAAAATATCTATAAATGGTTGTCCAGGCAAAATACTTCCAATCCGTTTAACAGACACCATCATCAACAACCTACCGTGCAAAAGAACAAACTAGATTCCAGTGGAGGAAGAAATCAGGAAGAAGTGGTGGAAGTGGATAGGACATACACTACGAAAAGCAACTAACTGCGTCACGAGAAAAGCCCTCACATGGAACCCTTAAGGCAAAAGGAAAAGAGGAAGGCCAAAGAATACATTACGCCGAGAAATAGAGAAAGATATGAGAGGAATGAACAAACATTGGACAGAATTGGAGGGGGAAGCCTAGGACAGAGTTGGTTGGAGAAAACTGCTGTGCGGCCTATGCTCCATTTTGGGTAACAGGCGTAAGTAAGTAAGTAAGTATTATGTCAAACTAATATAGGGAAAAGAGATTTGAAGGTCATCTTATAACACACAGATCAAATGACAATGTTAGCTCCGACACGCGAAGAATAATCAAAATTTGGACGGAACTAGAAAGCGAAGACCAGGACAGAGTAGGCTGGAGAATACTGGTCGGCGGCCTATGCCCCATTAGGGATAACAGTCATAAGTAAGTGAGTAAGTAAGTAAGTTTGACTATATAAAGTACATTTAGTGTTAATTACAATATGATTCATTATGTGTTACTGTGAAATATATACTCCACAGAATGACTTCAATCCGTATGACACAGTTATTGTCAACAAATCACTATTAACCTACCTAAATATGAAATTCCTATACCAATAAAATAATCCCATGGTAAATAAATCCAAGTTATTATTTCTGTTGAGGTCACTATAGAGGTGAATATAAAAATTGGCCAAGTGATTAATATGTTGAATAAACCTGTTGGATTGAGAGATGGAAAAAAAAATATGGATTAGAAAACTATAAAGACTGATGATACGTTAAGAAAATGATAAATCACTCTGGAAAATTAAGATAAAATATCTATGTACATTTGAAATCATCAATCAATCATTGTTAGACCACCATACCATTAGAAACCTGGAAGCAAGGGAAGACGGCCCTATCGTCCTAATATGGGACTACTTATCAGTGGTAGTGCGCATCCATGACTCCCGCTACTCGCAAGATTCGAACCCGGGATCTTCGGTACTGTGCGCAAACGCCTAAACCCCTAGACCACTGGGCCGGAACCCAACGGTCCTAATGTCTAACTCTGATTGATCTAGGGATTTTGCGCAACCCCACACATTTGTCTTTGGTAGTTACTGCCTACCCCTGACAGAGTTGAACTCCACTGGTCACATCTTCTCACTGGAACTGCGAGAATTTCCATACGAAGCTAGTCATCACTGAGCATATTTTACGATATTTTCAATTACAGTTATGAAGGTTAGTGTTTTTTTCCACACATTTGAAATCATCAATCAATCATTGTTAAACCATCATTAGAAACCTGGAAGCGTTGGATGTTGAATATCGGAATGATTGATGAGTTTTGCCCCTTAGTAAGATCCAATCCGAAAAGTATTCATCTTTTGGTAGTGAGTTTTTTGTGTGTTTCTATTGCAATGTCTAGTAACTATATAGCGCTTTATATGGGCTTTTCAACTGTACGTTTTTAATCAGAGTCAGATTCAAAATACAAACGTATTGAGCACTACTTTGAACTTAATGGAACTTGAAAAACTATGTTGACTAAGAGCCTTTCTGAATCTGGTACATTTCACAAGTCGACTTGCATTTCATGCGTGATAACAACACATTGATTGATTTCTAATCACTACACAGTCATTGTAAATCTCAGCATCTTATAGGATACTAATCGCAATCAAGTAATTGAATTTTAACAATTCTAACCATAACATTGGTTTAAGTAAGTTAATTAATAGCTTACAAAGAACTTACATCCATACATCCCTATTACTTTAGTTGTAGAATCGTATGTGTGTTGTGAATGATTTAATAAAGGGTTATCGAGGAGACTATTCATTTCACATTTTCACCTCTCAGACTGACTCCAATTGGCGAGTCATTGAAAACCCAAGAAGGACTGGACAAATTATTAGTCTTAATAAGCTTTTCGCCAGTAATGAACTTAGAAAACTCAGCTAACAATCCAAACCGAATCCATGGTCACTGAGTTCATGTCCACAGAAAAATACAACAATCGTTTGCTGTACATTAAAATATATCCGCACACTTAGATCAATTCCTTATTGATAACCGGTTTTTTTGTATTGTGACATTGTAGTTCGATCCAAAACCGAGTTAATTCAATATCAGAAATCTCCAAACACAGAGTTTTAATTGAAATCATCAACCAATCATTGTTAGACCTGCATTAGAAAAACCTGGAATCATTAGACAGCCATTTCGTCCTAGTATGGGACTCTTCAGAAGTCCGATTCTCGCGACAAGGGGTTGTGGATAAGCACTGAGAAGAAACGGCTGTCCAGTGATTCCAGGTTTTTCTAATGCAGGTCTAACAATGATCGATTGATGGTTTCGAATGTGTACAAATCTACAAGTATTCCATTGATCAATAATTCAAAAAACAATATTAACATTTTGGAAGAAATATTTTTTTTTCAAAGAAATAAAATTTATCTTATTTGACCAAATGATTAAAAAGTAATAAACATGAAATAGTAACTTGATGATGACTTACTTACCCAGTGAGAAATAAAAACAAGCCATTTGTCCAATAGTAGGCTTATTAGTAATACGTTTTAAAACAACCTAAATTCATAAAAAAATAACCACAACAAATAGAAACAATTACGGGGTTGTGAAGATTGTTAAGTTACACATTTTTGAAACCATGAATCAATAAATGTTAGATCACCATTAGAAGCCTGGAAGAAGCACTGGACGGCTGTTTCGTCCTGGTATGGGACTCCTCAGCAGTGCGCGTCCACGACTGTGTATGAGGTTGCGCAACTCCGTGAATTGATCAAGTTAGACATTAACACCGTTAGATACCGGCTCAGTGGTCTAACGGTTAGGGCGTTCGCGCACAATACCAAAGGTCCTAGGTTCGAATCCTGCAGGGTGAAGGAATCGTGGATGTTCACTGCTGAAGAGTTTCATACCAGGACGAAACGGCCACTGTCCATTGCTTCCAGGTTTCTGATGGTGTTCTAACATTGATCGATTCATTATTATCACCAAATACGATTATAAATGAATGTAACTCCTTTGTTTTTCACTGAACTCAAATGCTTTCCTGATATAAAGTCTGTTCAAAATAAACAAAATTTTTTATCGATTTCTTAGCTGACCAATGAGAATTATGAATGCCAATTAGATGAGGCGCATTATAACTGATTACTAATGTTACAGAAGTTACCTCTGTTAAGCTGGAAGTCACAAGTCCCACTTCGTTTTCTTTCTATATTCATTCAATCTATGTCTGGTACAATCGTCATTAACAGTCAAAATTTCCAATGAACATTAAGAAACGTTTTATAATTTAATCAATTCTCAGAAATTACAACATTCTCATTAGTAATTTTGATTAGTTTCTTGAGGAACCTGAAATAGACGTTAGGTTGTCCTAGGCCTTGGAGACCTGTGAGCTTTACCACATAACCTAAGGGACAACTGCTTGAGACTGGTCACGCATGGCCTTTTCATGAGAAATTTTTAAAGTTTTAGCTTCGTTCTTCAAGTGGCCTTATTGCCGCGGACGTATATCAGTAGAGTAAGGTGAGGTGTGTCATTTTTAGGGTAGACCTTTTCTAACACCCTCCTTTCTGGTAAGAAGGCAGCATCGTTGCAGATGCTGGTTGTCCGAAGGAAACATCCTACTGTCATCACATCCCTCCACAACTTCACCCTCAGACCTTGAGCAGCTGCTTCTATTCTCATCGACCTCCAGTCGACCTGCCTGCCATGGTAGGACCTACAGGAATATATGTTACAGCCAACAAAGCTTAGTTGGATCATCACGACAGGCAAGCCCGACCACTACGCCAGGGTAGCAGCTACAGTCGGAAAGTATTGACACTTCATCAGTTGATGTGTCTGGGATGTGTGTTACAAATGCGCAACCATCAAATGCCTTGACGAGCAATATTTTGTGGTGTAGGGGCAGGTTGGAAGAAAGCTAGTTGCTGCCATACCGAAACAAAGCACAAGTCCATAAGGTCATTGACAAGTGGACTGTCATGTTGGTAGACGTAGATAACCTGGTTGGGGTCTGCGAGACCATAGTAACTGACGGTTAGAGACTTTGAATGACATGGCTCAAAATCGTTTGCAATGGCGCAGATGCATCCACTGATTGTCTTCTGTCAAATTCTAATCTTCTGAATAGTTCAAAACTTCTATATTTCTCTTTCAAACGTTATCTCACAGAATTATACTTCTCGAACAATATCTTCGAACCATAATCTTCTCTATTACTGCTAATACTTCTACAAACTCTACCAGTATGGAATTTGAATTGACATTTGCGTCTATTTGTTAATGTGGTTATGGAAGCCTGAACTTATGTACTTACGTATATATGAATAATTTTCATTTTCAATGTTATTCCTCAATCATAATGAACATTTATTTACTTCTATTAATGATCCAAGATCACAGAAATGTTAGCTGTTTGTTATCTGATAGCCAGTTATCTTGATCAATAAATTTATCGCCCTGAACTCATTGATGTAAGTAAATTGGTTTTAGCTTCTTTGACAACTAAATAGCAAACCGAGCTAGGTTCATGATTAGCTATCTTCCACCCCTATTCGAAAACTATGGATGATCACCGGCTGCAGTTGTATGGCGCCATGAAAATGTCAAATAAAGGCGCGAAACGTTCGGCTCTCTAATTTGAGGGTGTTAAGTGGCTCTCCATGTTTGATCATCGTTGTTTCCAAAATATAATGATAACAACATGTTAGTTATGCTAAGGTTAGGCAATATGTATTCTGGTACAGCAGCGATGATCGAATTAGTGTCAGCACAGACTTCTGTATCTTTACCGAGTGCTGTGAATATCATCGCAGAGAACTCCGCTTCGGACATTATTTGTCAATATTGAGAGTGGTCGGAAAAACGGATAGGTATTCAGTGCATAAAATGGTGTCGCAGTATGCAAGAAAGGCTTCTGTTGCGTCTTCCCAACTCCCTAATGGAGGTTATAGAGACGGCATAACTCAGTAGCTTGAGACGTTTGAAGTGTGTACTAGGATGTCGAGCCCACATAGCTTGTCCCAGCCTTTAGACAAACTAATTAAATAATTCTTCTCGAGCTATTTGCCCTCCCGACTGAAGCTGCTACCTTGACGTGGTGGTCGAGCTTGCCTATTATGATGATCCAATCGAGCCATATTGGCTGGAACATATGTTACTGAAGATTCTACCATGCCAGGCAGGTCGATTGGAGAACGATGAGACTAAAAGCAACTACTCAACGTCTGAGGGCGAAGTCGTACTGCTGACTACTGAGGGATGTGATAGCAGCAAGGTGTTTCCCTCGGACAACCAGCATCTGCATCACAAGGAAGGAGGGGTTAGAAAATGTCGACCCTGAAAATGTCACACCTCACCTTGTTGCACGGATTTCCGTCTCCTTGGGTAAGCGTGTCCACTAAGGGCTTTCAAGAGCGGAGCCAACACTTTAAAAACTTCTCGTAAAAAGTACGTGAGTGACCGGCCTAAAGCAGTTGTCCCTTGGGCTCTGCGGTCACACTTTGAGATCTCCAAGACCAAAACTAATCTACCTTCCTTTTCAGGTTTCTCAAGAAACACCTTTTCACTGCGTGGACAGCCGGGAAGTGACATCCGCCTCCTCATACCCGTAACAGCTATTTGCCCCAAAAGCCTTAGGTTGTTTTGACTTGAGTACATATATGCATTGCTTACTTTGCTTATTACATGTTTGACTTATTTTTGTTCGACTATAAATACCTAGTCATACTTCATCGAACTGAGTTTAACCGGTTTACTTTGCTTCGCTTCGCATTCTATTACCTGTCTGTCCATCCACTAAACCGTATTGAACTTCTATAATGACCTTCGTTGCATAAACAGGGTGTGTTTGGGAAAATGATATACAGAAATCGAAGGATGATAGATTTATTAGATAGAATATTCAATCGTTCGCTCAAATTGAAGTCAAATTCCGGGCAACTAAACGTTATCGGATATAGCTCAGAACACAAGCCTGTGGCGGTATTGTTGTAATTTCTTTTATTGCTTTCTTAATATTCAGGAAAACCTGTTTGATTGAAAGAATCCTTCGTCCCGGTAGTTTTTCTTCTCATTATTATTGTCTATTTTTACTCTCACACTTTATTTAAAATCCATTTTCTGTCATATTCACCGACTTCATTTTTCCCTCGTCACAACCTCATTTTCATCGTACGTCGGTCGGTTCCTCCTAGCATTAATATTTATATGTTTTAAATAAAATATAAAAGGTTTCAACCTTTCCTTTTTCTAGCTAGATGAAAGTAAATGTGAAATAGGCTTTATTTTTTTCTAAAAAAAAATCAACTTATCACCAAAGGTCGGTAAGTTGTTTTTTTTGATTGTCGTATATCAGTTAGAATAAACAATGTGTAGTCGTAGTAGTAGTGTGGTGTGTGCTACTTATACGAACGATTTAAGTAGTATAGAAGAAGGGACGTGAAAGAAGAAGTCTCACGGTCACAAGAGGAAAACGGAAAGCAAATGGAGCAAAAGTAAGGTGTAAATGGAGTACCAACAGGAAGGAAAGGAAGCAAGAACAGGAATGGAAGCAGGATGGAGCATTGGAAGTCAGGAATCAAAGATGGTGTGCAAATAGAGTGTTGAATCTAATGTTTTGGTTTTTAATTGACTAAGAGTGTAAATTTGCGAAATACAATCTACTGCACTGACTGGGAGGTGGTGACAGAAAGGCTTCTGGTGGAGTTCGACATCCCGCCGGATAGGCAGGACGCGCTGCAGAAGTTCCGAGAGGCCAGATTGACGGTGGATAGCGACCCACTCATGCTGGTCGTGGAGTTGACAAGATTGCTGCGCCGCGGTCTGCCGAATTTGGATGAGGAGTCGCGAGCACTGCTGCTAGCGTCGCAATTCATTGAAAGTGTGCCTGCAAAGGTTTACCAACAGTTGAGACTGGTGAACGCGGCAAAACCAATGGACGTCACCGAGCTGGCGAAAGTAAAAAGACAACTGATTAACTCAACAGTCGCCTCGGTGACGTGTGAAAGACAGGTTGATGATGTCGTGAAGAAGATAGAAGAATTACAACGAGAGGTGGCAGAGTTACGAATAAAGGGTGAAAGAAATAATAATTGCTATATTTGCGGAGGAACCGGACATTGGAAGAGGAGTTGCCCAATAAGACGAAAACATTACATTGAACACTCTATTTGCACACCATCTTTGAGTCGTGACTTCCAACGCTCCATCCTTCTTCCATTCCTGTTGTTACTCTATTTACTTGTTGCTTTTGCTCCATTTGCTTTCCGTTTTCCTCTTCTGACCGTGAGACTTCTTCTTATACTACTTATATCGTTCGTATAAGTAGCACACACCACAGTAGTAGTAATAGTAGTACATTACTCTATATAATGATTGAAAATGTTCAAAATAAAAGCAAGTATGCATGCATGCAAACATATTCAAGTTTGATGAAAATTTTTTATTTAAATGAAATGTTTATTACTTACTATAAATAATGAAAAGGTAATTATTGACAAACTAGTTAAACATTTATACCACATCACCAATTGATCACTGTAAATATTTAAAATTACACCACTGGAAGCCAAAATGAATGCGATCACCTGAAATAGTAGATGAATTAGACAGGAAAACAAATTTCGTGTATAGAATTAGAGAAAGAGATATGAGAGGAATGAACAAACATTGGACAGAAAAGTCAGGACAGACAGAGTTGGTTGGAGAATGCTGCTGGTGGGTGGACTGTAGTGCCTCCACATAAACTTGAGTTCGCTCATATTTAATTTGATTAAGCCTTTCGATTAACTTATGTAACCAAGCCATTTGTATAGCAACAATTTATATGTACCATTGGTATTTTTACTGTCTGGTTTGTATGAGCTTGTACGACTGAGCATTGTTCACGCCTACGCGCTAACTCATCTTTTTTGCTTCAATGGTTATCTTTTAATATCCCCATGAACTCACATGATTTGTATCGCTTGTTTTTGACCTTGTCAATCATTCGTCACTTTTATTCATGTCTGTGCATGCCTATTTCGCTTCTCGTATGTCTGTCTTATTTTTATCTGACTATATATTCTTAGTCACGCTCTATCTCCTGGGAGTTGGCTCTTAGCCTTCTCCAATGCCCTTCGCCTGTTCATTCACTTCCTTCGCCCATTCCTTCGCATTGTAATCCTAGGAGTTGGCTCAACAACCTTCTCCAGTTCACGTCGCTTCATTCGTTTTATTCACTGCTTCTCCGCTTCGCTTTGTGGTGTGTCCTGAATAAACGTATTCATCACTACGAATTCATCTTCTGATTTATAAACCGTCAGACGCTATTTGGCAAGGATTGTCTGAACGAGTTAATTACCGAGCTTAAGAACACGCAGTAAATCGACACACTACAGGCCTATGCTCTATTGAGGGCAATAGGTGTAAGTATGTAAGTAAGTAAGTAAGTTTAGATATGATAAATTTGGTTTGATTGCTGAAATGATAGTGGAATACAGTTGTTTCATTTGCAAACAAATATCGTTTCTTAATCAAAAATGAAATTAGATATATCTACGCTTGGACACTGAACAAACATCCAGTGGTGCGCTCTACTTATAAGTAGTATATGACACGAGTGTAAACGTAATGTCTGGCAGCATAAGATGGGGGGGCAGATCAAGAGAAAGAAAGAGTGGGAACACAATGGAATTTGTATGAAACGCATGAATAAGTGAAATGTCAGACAATGGATTGATGATGGATTGATGTTTTGCAAATTAACCGTTTACGATATGGTTTTCCTATTTAACTGAGTAACTCTGTAATTTTCGTTAAATACAATTCGGTTGCCCTCACCTGTGTTCTCTTTCACTACATTTGGTGTCGCTGCCTTCACGAAGGAAGGAGCTCCCGTGGCCGAAGGAGTTTGAGGACGGAGATTTGCGGAGCTTCCTGGAGGAGTTTGAGGCCGTGGTGGGGCTGGTGGGTGTGAAGGGGCCCGGGGCGGAGTTGGTGGTGCTGGGGACGCTGCTGAGAGGTGGGGCAAAGGCTGTATACGACATCTTGGACGGCGCTGCCGGGAAGACGGCGTGGGAGACGGTCAAGGAGCGAATGGTGACGGAGTTCGGACAGGGAGGAGGCGCTGCAGGGGTTCCAGTTGGCGAGGTTGTCTGTCGATTGTGACTCACTGGTGCTGGCTGTGGAGCTCACGATGTTGCTGCGCTGTGCGCCGCCGAGTATGGATAGGGAGTCGGGGGCACAGTTGTTGGCGTCGCAATTTATTGAGAGTGTGCCTGACTCCGTGTCCCAGCAGCGGGAACCACTAAACGCTACACGTTGGATAGATGCCGTATCCATACCAGACCAGCGGGCAAGAACAATGACCAAAGTGGTAATCCGGCATATTGTAGCGTGTCACGGAATGCGCAAGGTGATAGATATTAAACGACCAGGGTCCCTGTTTTAAAAGTGACGAGTTTAAACACCGTATAAAACAGTTTGGCATCAAGAGGATACGAACTACACCGTATCATACTCAGACAGATGGGCTTATAGAGAGAAACAAGCGGACGTAAAAGAAATGGTTATCATCTAAAGGAGTAGAAAGAGTCACCATTGATTTCGCTGATCCCAAAGTATGAAGGACCGTACGTTATCATGGTTTTTATTGATCGTCAACCTGTCGTTGATTGCTCCTTTATTTTGATTGTATCTTCCTTAGATCTGTTTCTTGAGTTTATGTCACCTATGATTTTTCTGATTGACTGATAAATTGAGTCAATGTCGATGTGTTTGTGATCGCTGATTGAGTGTCAAGCTTCTAAAAAATTCCCCAGTGTTCTCTGTCCTCCCCTTATCCAGTATTTCCACATTTTTTCAATCAAATGTATGTACATAATTGTCTGTATGTATAGATATAAGCGAAGAATTGTCGCGGCGTTTGAATGGTAATTTTTTGTTCATGTAAACGAAGCTGAAAAGGATGTACACTTTGTCCTATGTAATGTTTTTCACAGTCTGAGCAGTCATTTATTTTGTAGATGATATTCGGTTATGCTTCTTCTGTTCTACATAGAATTGATAGAAGTGATTCTGTTGGTTTGTGTGCCACACCTATTCCAAATGGTTTCAGTAGTCATGCTATACACTTTGATGTGTCTTTTATGCTGATGATGTTGTTCAGAAGAACAATGAAAGCTCCACAGCAGAAACATCCAGTTCAGAGTATGAAACTTCACCACAAGCATTTGCATTTTACCCGACCAGATTTCATGTGTTAAGCGGTCAAAGTTAATCTCCCAGGAAACTCTGCTTGACGTAGGTTTCGTTAAAATTGGTACTCCATTTTGTACGGTTTAAACCATCATCTCAAGTTATCACAACGTATGACATTATCACTGAGTTATTGAGTTAACGACTAATCATCGGTATGACTATGACATATGCTTACGTCCAATGATTATCGAGTAGTGATTAGTGTCATGTTTGTTTAGTCCCTTTCAGTGAATGATTTCCACCAATCAAATGCTTTGTTCAGCAGTTTGTGATATAACATCAGACTCACCAAAAGTTCTTAAATTATCATAAAACCGAATTTTCGGGCAGAGTTTTGGAGGTTTTGTGTTTTTACACATTTGAAATCATCAATCAATCAATCATTGTTAGACCACATCATTAGAAACCTGGAAGAAGCACTGAGAGACGGCCGTTTCGTCCTGATATGGGTTTACTCATCAGAAGCAGTGCGCATCCACGACTCCTGCACCTCGCATGATTCGAACCCGGGACCTTCGGGTATTGTGCGCGAAGAACGCCTAACCATTGGATCACCGGGCCGGAATCCAAACTGATTGCCTTTTAGTCAACATATCACCGAAAGAACTATGTGATATCCATTACGAAACTAGTCACAATTGATAAGTTCGGCTGCAGATGAGTATAAGGGCTTTGAACTGATCTTCCGACAAAT